AGTTGTAACCGATCCGGATCGATTGAAATGATTGATATTTCATTTTTCTCTGATAAAATTTTTTGAGAGCAAGTTTATGTCCTCTTATAAAAATAATCAAATAGTGTTGTTTCAAGAACTAACAATTTTATTTTCTTAATCGAAATATATTTCATCATTCAAAACGCTCAGTCAAAACTGTTTCACTTGCGTTAAACTACTATCATAATACAAAAAGGAAAATTAATGCTTTTTGAAGCCATTTTCATTAACCAGCCGGACTGGAGTGGTTACAAATCTGAACGAAACCTGGTCTAATACTAAAATTTTGCTTACTTATACTTTTTTGGTATGACCGTATTTAAACTGATGTGAACAATTCTCTTACTATAGATGAAGTAAATTGTGCGATAGGTTTATATTTGCTTCAAACTTAAAAAAATGTGCCTTCAGCAAAGTCAGTTTAATAAAAGAAGAAAAGAGCAGGAACTCATGGAAGAAATGAACAATGTGCAAACGTTCGAGGTTCTCGTTTCTCTTTAGTAATCATGAGATATATCTGAGAAAGAACATATGTGTTAAACATACTTTGTCGAAAGTACTTTTTGGTCACGGAGGGCGCTCCAAGGATGAGGGCAAAATGAGTTGACCTCTTCATGCTGAACAAGTCTATATAAGAATTAAAGAGCTCGCAACAGTCTAAAGCATCCTACGAGTCTTTTGACGAAATACTTTTCAGCGAAGAGGATTACAACCGGTTTTTTTTTCTTCTAGTCCTTATTAAATGATTTAACATCATTACTTCAATGGAATCGTCAAATCTATTCACAAAATGAACAAAATCGTGTTGAAAATGTTTTACCTTTATTACGTGAACAAATTACAACAACTGATAGTTATATATCACATGTTAGTCAGGTAAACTATTATATTGAAAAATTTTATTTTTTTCGAATCTATTGAATTATTTTAATAGCAATTAACTGAATTGGTAATGAATTTACGTTCATTAGAAAAATATATTTTATCTTATACAAATACAATACCATTGATTGATGATGGTAAAAGAAAAATTAAAAATTAATTTATTCGTTTTGAAATATTTGATTTAATTAGGAATGATATCTTCACAAGATATGTCATTAAATCGTAATCATTGGCGTCCATATGATGAAAATGATTTAGATTCGATGAGCACAAGAGTATAAAATTAAATATATATATATATATTTTTCTTTTTTTATATTAAAAATATGGTTATTTCCTTTTTCAGGAATCTCGTTTACAAGAATATGATCGAAGTAAATTATTTGATTCCTTCTTTTTTTATTATTTATTTTTTTTTTTGATTTTGGGTTTTTTTTAGATGGAAGTATAAATGATCTATCAAGTAAAAAAAAATATTTATTAATAAAAATATGAATTATTTATTCGTTATTTCTAGAAACAAGATCTGCTTCAATGTCTCGTATTACTGATTCTGACGAATTAAATTATCATTTTGTAAATCATATCTTTTTTTTAAAACCTCTCCAAAAATGTCAATTTTCATTAGAAAAATCGAAATGCCTGGGAAGATAGATCGAGATCTGATCTTTTTATAGACGATATAATTTTTTTTTATTTAGCACTTCACTCTTCGCCAAAACGTTTGATGATTTCGGTCATCTTTTTTGCTTTTTCTGATCGTGCATCCCCACAATTCTCAAAGAAGCTTCATTATAACCATTTGCTTTTGTTTTTGTTTGAAAGAACATGTGAAGTTGTAGTATCAACTTTTGAATTAAGCTTTTTTATCATTATATAAATAAGCACTTAAAGATTCTATCAGATACTGCAGTCTGACATGGTCTTTCAAATAAAACGAAAAAATTTAAATCTATAGAATGAGGGTCTATAAAGTATTTTGAGTTAGTATATGAGTTATTTTTGACGTTTATTTCTCCTTTAAACATATCCTGAAAATTTCATGTGAATTGAATGTACTTCGCCAAAGATCGATTTTTGACGGAAGAGGACTTCATTTTACAGCAGCACAAAAAAATTATTATTTTTTTTTCTTTTTTTTGTTGTCGAAGAGTCGTGATGATCTACGAATATTAACAAAGAAAAGCAATATACATGTAAATGAAAATAATAGTAATAATAATGGAACATTAACACGTCTTGCAACAGTTAAATCTGCTAAACGTGATAATAAAATTCAACCAAATGTAAAAATCTATTAGAGAAAACAAAAAACAAAAATTTTGATATTATATTCTAGACTATCCTTAAGGCATCATATCCTTCTATATCATCGTCGAATGAAAGAAAAAAAACCTTTGATCTTAGTACAGAAGTACATATTATCATGAAAATTTAATTATTTTATAAATATAATTTATTTTTTGTTTTAAAGATATCTAAACCAAATAGAACTAACATATGTAATCGATTAATTGATTGTGATAATGATGATCAAGTATTAACAATTAAAATGAAGAAAAAAGACGAACTTCGAAAAACGCATTCAAAACAAAAGTAAAAAAAAAAAAAGAAAGAAATTTTTTCTTTTTTACTATTTGTATTCAATTATTTATTATCTAGTATGCAAACAATAAATGATCATATTCGATCACATTATAATCATAGAATATTTGACAAAGAACATGATAGAGTATGTACAGAGAGTAATATTTTGGTATTCAATAAAAAATTCGTGCTACACATATTTATTAGTCATATTTTATTTTTTTGAATAAAAGTGATTTGTATTTATTATTTATAGGCTTTGAATTTACAATCAAGACTTGTCGAAGAAGCAAAAGAGAAAAATCGTCAAGTTGCAAGTTAGTAGATTTTTTGTTTTGTTATCTGTTCGTTTGGGAATGACTAACAATTTGTAATCGTGTGTTGATCAGAATAATTCTTTTTTTGTTTCAAAGACTTATGATAACCATCATTGGGTGAGCTAAATTAAAAATCTAATTTGTTTGTGTTTATGTCTCTTGGTGCTTGATATTAGATTGTTATTTTTTTTGTTGCAATTTTAAATTTTTAGTATTGAATTTTTTTTTCCCTTTTAGCAAAACATTCGTTACATAAATCATATCAACAACGATGGATCTGTTCTAATTCATAATTAACAATAATAGTGATGATGTTAGATTTTACATTCACATCTTTTCCTTATTCTTCTTTTAATACAGTGTTTTATTTCTTTAAACAATTTTTTTTTCAATTATACTCTGTTGCTTATATCACTATTTTTTATATATTGTGCATGTTTTGCATGTGTACTATGTAAACGAGATTATTTCTTTGAAAAGATATAAAATAACATATTTCTCAATTTAATAGTTATATATATATATATACTGAATAAAAAAAGAAAAAGAAATTAAGAACTATAATTTGTGATATTTCAAAATGATTTCTATTAGTCAATTTTCAATTGGATAGTAATGAAAAATCTATAAATAATCAATCCTAACATGACAATATGTTTTGCAACTACATCAGCAGTATGAAAAAGTGTAGAATCCTAACTCCTACAATATAGTTTAGTATTCTTCATTTTTTTTTTTACATTGTGGCAAATATTGTTTCTACATAATACTATGAGGGTGTGGATGTGGGTGTATGGCTTAGGATGAAATGAACCCACACCAACCCTTGTGGTCAGAGGTATCCTCTTGAAATCTTCACGAGGACGAAAGTAATTAGCCATGCTGAATCCAATCTTCTCAAACATTCTTGATGACGATTGACAAGTAGAAAAGATGCTATGAATTATGATTAGTTTCACAATTATTCATTTTTAGTTTTTTTCAACATATATTATAAAGTAAAAAAAAAATATTTTGAGACTGTAAAACATTCAATTAATAGAAAGATGATCTGAATTTTTTGGCCACTAAATCTGATTTTAAATTACTGATTCAAAAAAATAACATTTTTCTTTTATACTAGTATCATAACATAATTTATTATGAAACATATTTCTTCACGCAGAAGAATATTTTTCTAACAATATTTTTCTATTTTGAAAAGACCTATAACATCAAAACAAGAAGAATCTTTTTTTCTTTGCTGTCAGCTATATGTATGATACATGAATAAGCTGTATGTGTATACATATGTTCGTGAATCAAAACCGGAAAAAATAGAGAGAACGATAGATCCTTGCTATTTCGACTAGAAAATCTATTTTTGAAACAATCTGCTGGAGTAGTGATATCTAAAGGTATTTAAGAAAAAAAAATCAATCTTATCTTCCGTATCAATATTTTTTCCTGCATTAAATTCAAAAATATTAGTTAGGTGTAAAATTATTTCAATTTCAGAAAAAAATAAATACTGAACTAAATTTGCTAGTTGCCTAATCATCGATTTCATGAATGACAACAGCATGTTGTCTGATCTAGCTTATTTTATTTACTTGCTTTCAGCATCTTTTTACTACTTTATATTTAGTAAATATTAATAATTATTTTTTTAAACATCTATGATGTTTTTTCTCACCATGATGACTGTATTGTTTTTATTAACAAAAGTATCAGCTGTTTCTTTTTTCTCTTTCGTTTTGTAGTGATTATGCTTGACAGATTGCGCAATTTATTAAGTATTATTGTGTGATATATTTGTTTTTCTTTCGATGAGTAAATATATATCTTTAGGAGAAGATCAAATTTTTGACAATCAATTCTAATAAATTTTGTTTCTATTTCAGAATTTTCAAGTTAATAAATACTCGCTTGTCTAATCAGAAAAATTCGATTGAATTTATCTTACTATACACATAATTATATATTTTAATCTTTCAGATTTTCTCTTAAAACTTTAACTGGTAGTTAACAGGTGTATTTCCTAGGATCATGTCGAACGAGTTCTCGGAAAAAAATCAGTTGATATATAATTTACCAAAATCTAATATAATGAAAAAGAGAGTATCATTGAAACTTTTGGATAACGTCCGCCAAACTGTGGAAACATGTAGAGTATTGACGGACAAGTGAGGTGTTCATTCAGTAATTAACATGTCTGCCGCTGGATTTCAATATACCGGGGATAGAGACACAGCTCGTTGTAAACATTGTGGACTTGAAGCATTCAATTGGACAGCAGATATGAATCCGTTTACTATTCATTCTGAACAAAGTCCTCATTGGTCATACGTTCGCTCCATGAAACCATCATCATTATCAGTTGTACTTGAATCTTCCTCCTCGTCAACAACTACTGATCAAAATACATTAATATCAGATGAACAAGAAAATCATCCTCAACCTCGAAAAATTGATTTAAAATCTCGATTAAATAATTTATTCGAACCTGATTCACTTCAACAATGTCGATGAAATACCTTTTGCCAATGGCCGCATCTTAAAGCTCTATCAAATGAATGTATGGTTCAAGCTGGATTTTTTCGTTGTGACACTAATGATCGAATTATATGTCCTTATTGTGATCTAACATGTGAAAAATGGACACCATATGTAGACAATCCTAAGGAAGTACATAAAGCACTTTCTCCTACGTGTTTATATGTTACAGAAAAATTACGCCTTGTTGAACCACCACCTATTATAAATGGCAATATTAGCTCAATGGCAACTATTGCAAGCAGTCCTGTTCGTGCGCCAAATAATACCAATTCACCCTTACTGAGTACATTTGCTCGTCCAGTTGCACAAAATCAAAGTAATAGCGTCGTTCATAGACCGGCTGGTTCTGCCCCAACGTGTCCTGTTGATAATTCACTCTCTATTGACGAGCTCATTCAAGAAAACACTGCGTCTACAGAAAATCAATTTGATGTAAATAAATTTTGCTGCAAAGATTTATTAGACCATTGGGATCCAGATGATAATCCAACGATTGAAAATGATCGCTGGTTTCCACATTGGAGAAATGGTCAGCAATTATATGGTGACCAATTATATCATAAAATTCAAGAAACCAATCGAGCACACCAACGTATGTTCAAATATTGTCTTTTTATAAGACAAATTTTCTGTTTGGTTTTTTTTAGTACGTACTAATTTGAGGAAACTAAGTGAAAAGGTAAATCCTGATGTTATAACAAATACCAATCCAACTTCAAATAGTCAACAATCACTCATGTCTAATGAAAGTATTCTATCCATTATTGAACGATGTTGGCAAAGTCAATTACAAGAAAAACGTATTATGATTGTTTAAACAATTTTTATTTTCACTAACCTTTTGTTTATTTAGATGAACGTCTTGTTTGTTATCGTGATTTATTAATTGTTCGTTTTATTCAACAAAAGCAAATAGAACTTGGAAAAAATATTATTATACCATGTGCAAAAATGAAACAACTCCCAAAAGAAGCAATAAAAAGATACCAAAGTATGTTTTTATTTTATTAAAAACTTTCTTTCATAATTTCTTTTCTATTTTATAGAAATACATGGACAAAGACAAATATCAGTTGAATCTTGCATCGTCTGTTTAAAAGAAGAAAAACGATTAGCTTTCTTACCATGTGGTCATTTGGCAACATGTGTTACATGTGGACATTCGTTCAAAGTATGCCCATTGTGTCGACAAGAAATTAAAGCATCTGTTAGCGTTGACATTAACATCTAGGGTTCGACAGTCATGATTTTAGTTTTTTCAAAAGTAACATAAATTAGTGATTATTATCCAGTGCTCTTGAATCTTGCTTAGAAAGCAAGCTAAATGAGACATACTAGATATTTTTGAACAGTTTTTAATTTAAATATTTTTTATTATAGTTTTTTGATAGTCCGATTATAAATCTCTAAATGCAGACTGTATTTTTAAACCTGAAAATGACGGTGAAGCTTTAGTTAGTTTATTCGTGTGATGCATTTGTTGTATTGTTGTTTATTTTTATTATTGTATATTTACTATGTTAAATTTATTTGATCTGTTATATTGACTAATTTAGTAGATTAGTGATACATTATATTAAAATATATCTGAAAGTAATCTTTATGTTTTATGCATCTTCATAATTGCAAATAACAAATCAACAATGTGCAAAAGAGATTATATTATTAATTTAGAAATTCATTAACAGAATCGTCATTTATGAATATTTAAGAAGAACGCTCATAGTACGAATAGATCATGCCATTATTTTAGAAGTGTGTAACACTTATGAATTGATTTTATTATTGAAGATAAGTGCACATTAGAATTTTTGAATCATTTTTTTAACTAAATCAATTTTTTATGGGTAAGTTTGATCGCGTTCTTAAAAGTACGCGATTCACTCAAGTATTAACAGCGAAACATATCTGTCATCCGTTTCGTTTTTTATTCTGACGAACTCTATAATCATAAATAGATTATTTCTTAATGTATGTTTGAAATTTGAAGATGGAAGCAAAAAAAAAGGTCATGCATGTATTTCAATGATTATTAAAGGTAACTCTATTTATTCATTTGTTTGTTTATCTGGAAAATATTTTAATATGCACTCTATCGGTTTTGAGTGTGGATGTTCTCTTCATCGATACGTACACCCACAGCCACCTTGCACACCATTTTAGGTCTGATTGAACAGAACCATTTTTTTAAAATTAAATTCAGCCATTCTTTTAGTGATAACAGCTTAGAATCCATTGCAAGTTATTTTGATTGAGAAAAAATTTGAGATTAAATAGCTCTAATTTTCTGTCTAGCATCCAAAATTTCTATCTATTAGCATTGCATAATGTAGCCGTACTCGTAAGCTGTCGCTAAATTACACGAAAAAAACATTCGAAATTCTTCAGAGTCAGAATCAGAGTTAAAAAACGTGACTCCACAGGTTTCTATTCAGGACACCCATTGAAGATATTTGCGAAAATATTTCAATGCAGTACTTTAAAAATTTCAAAAAAATTATTGATTTTGCTGGCTGCCAATGAATAATTTTCAATTATTGGGGGGTGTACACCCCCTACACCCTCCTACTTTCCTGGGGCCTGATCATAAGTGTGGGTGTGTGGGTGTGGATGTGACTTTGGGTCTTGTCTTGGTCTACACTCACACCCATACCCAGTACAATTCTAAATAATAGTTAGTTTATCTATTCACCTACTTTCCAAATCTATGCAGCTGGCATGTTAAACAATCAATTTGGTGTCTGTAAAGCGACAGTTACGGGAGCGTCATTCCGACAGCAATTTGGACAGTATCCCAGAGCCCAATGACTAGCACAGCCTTTCTTGCGTTACAAACAGATCGTAATCTGGTTGTTTATGCATTGGGTGATGCTGTGTTGTGGTCACCTTTTGTTCAAAATGACGGTATCGGAAATCCATTCTGCTTGAAAATACTAGATTCGAGGAATCTGATATGGACTGATAATATCAGAACAATTGTTTAGGAGTCAAATAGTGCACAAATCGGATAGTGTCTTCCTATTTTCTATTTACAGAAATGAATCTAACAAACTCAAAGTGAATCTTCAATGACATTCTGTTGACAGACAGTGACAAAATAATGTGGTGGTGTATCTTTCGTTGCTTAAAAGCTTCTTTTGACTCTTTCGCAAGGCTCCTGTAAAAATTTAGCAGACTGATTTATATATTCATATACTTTGAAATAGCTTTTGAGATTTTTATGAAAATGCACAAGTCGATTACTCAGTCTAACACGAAATTCTAAGGAATATGTATGCATTCAGTATAATTGCTGCTTACATATGCACCAGTTATTAAAACATGACAAGTAGTTGGCTATTCCGAGTTCGAAAATAAACCGAGTTTTCAAAATTTTGCCAACACTAGCATAATCAAAGTCCAAGACAAAATTTTATCTCAATTTGAATTATAATTGGAATAAAGGCACCCTTGTTAAAATGACCAAAATGACGAATGGTAAATCTTTATCTGAACTATGATTATGCTTCAAAATATGGATTTTGATGTTAAAATGGCTAAAATATAAACATAAATTTTACATGTGGGCATGGGTGTAGTTGAAGATATTACTGATGCCCACTCCAGCATGTATCACTAATGAAAATTCTCATTGTTTCCATTGCAGATCCTTAACGAATTCAGCAAGGATCCGCCCTTTTTTTCCTGAGAAAATGACCGAATCCTGAAGAAAGCGTGTAGCCATAGCATTTCAAAATCCTGCCAGGATTTAAAACAGGATTTAATTAGGATCCTATGCGGTTTACGACCATTTTTGAGCTAGAAATCGTTCAGAAAACCGCTAATTTCTGGAAGAAACATGTAGTCAAGAAGTGACAAAAATTTTGACTGGATTTGAAACAAGATCTTTGAAGGATCCTGATCACATTTTTATTGCTTTTGAATCAGGATCCTGCCATGATTTGAATGATTCCGAATTGACAAAAAAATTCTCTCTACATCCTGCAGATTTTTGCTAGGTTCCCTTGAGAATGTTATCAGATTTCTTGGTAGAATCTTTACAGAATTTTCTAAAGAAAACAGAAAACAAATGAATAGATAAAGTATTGATCTCTAGACCTTCAGTATACAAACCGATCAGCTTACCCAACTGGCAAGGGAACATTCCCAACTGTCACATCGCTTTTGAGTCGGGCGTATGCACATCATGTGGATCGTAGTGATCTATGAATATCCTGAAAAAAGTTCGTGCCGCTTGCTTACTATTGCCGAGATATTGCATTTTTACTATATGTTTAAGAAAAAAAGCCGTGGTCCCCCTCAGGAACACTAGAAAAACTGAGTTTCGAATTTCGACTTGAAACTTTGCATAGAGATAGGCCTCAGTGAGAATAGTTTCTTGTGAAAATTTACGATCTTTTCGTTGTTCCTGTCGCAAGATGCAGCTATGGTAAAATAGCTTATATATATCAGCAGATTCCGATGTTCTTATTTCAGACTAGGAGCAATCAAAAGATCTAAAACTTTCACAATAAACTATTCTCATGGAGACCGGTCCCTGTACAAAGTTTCGAGGTGAAATTCGAACCTCAGTTTTCCTAGTATTCCTAAGGGAGACCACGGCTTTTTGCTTATACATACAGTAAAAATGCAATATCTCGGCAGTAATAAGCAAGCAGCAAGAACTTTATTCAGAGTATTCATAGATCATTAGGGCTCACATGATGCGCATACGATCGATTCCAAAGCGATGTGACAGTTGGGAATATTCCCTCGTCGGTTTTAATTAATAATAGAAAGACTACATAAAAAAAAATGATTTTGTGTTTTTCTCGAAATTAATTTTTTCGCTAATAATCGAACTGCGAACAAACTCGTTTCAATATGCTTCAATCTAGAGAGTTGTATTTTTTTTTCATCGGTAGATATATGTATAGTCTTTCAGATGAGGAAACCGAATTTTTTAATTGGTCATCAATGCTAGAGAAATCCTAGCTCGTCCAGAAAATCATGCCTAGAATTTCCAGATTTTTGAGATTTTGGTGATCTTTAAAATGCAACATAGTAAAAATTAAAAAAATTCTTTTCGTCATCCGAAGCAGTAACGAGTTCTCTTTCTAATAAAAGCAACCCGAACTCTGTAGCTTGATGTATATTAGAAAAAAAAATTGTAAGTGTGAAAGCCCTGTTTTACAGCTTGGTTCATAGATATCTCCTGAATAGTAAGGTATAGAGGCGTGAAATTCTTTTTTTACTAATGTACTTCCATGAACCCAACTTCTATGCAAAGTTTCATCAATATCTCATCGAAATTAAATTCTTGAGTGGAGGCTCAAGTTTTTCTATTAAAAATGAACCAATTTTTTTTCAAATCTCTCGATTATAGTCTAGTGTTGCTCAACATAAATATTGATTATTGCAATAGTAATCTTTTCATTTGTGTAATCAACTGTATAATATTTTAATATATTCTATACTAACTTGATCAAATTATGGATATAACAATGAAAAAATTTTCATAATTATTCTAGCATAAAATATTTCAAAGTGATATGTATATTAATCAATAGACTGAAAACTGTTTTAATTATATAGTCGATATGCAAAAGGAACTGTTTGATATACGCCATTTATTTTTAACGTTTATTCACTTGATATATTCTATTCAAATATCAAAAACAAGTTCTATTTTCATTGATATTAATAGTTGAAGTAAAAAAAAATATCATACAGAATAGTGCGCTCCTATTATATTCTTTCAATTTTTATACTGCATTTTAGCAGTAAATTGATCACAAGATTATTATACGCTGCATATATATATATACTCTTTTTTGAATCATTTATTGCAGAACAATTACTGCTGGCAAATAGCATGGCTTCTTTTTCAATTGCTATTTTTTTATTGATGATTATTTCATTGATCAATGCTGCAAAAGTTTGTCCTGGTTATGGATTTATACATGAACCAGAAAACTGTACATCAACATGTTCCGCGACTAATGATCAATGTCCTCCAGAAGAAAAATGTTGTTATATTATTACAGAACCATGTGGTTTTCATTGTATTGTACCAAAAGATAATGTTGAAAAATCAGGCAAGTGTCCAACTTCATCACCTAATGATCCAAATTGGTTTTTATGTGATGCACACAGTTGTGATGTTGACAATGATTGTCAAGATATTCAAAAGTGTTGTCCAAATTCTTGTGGTTCTCCTATATGTATGACACCAAAATGATTCAAATAAAT